GTTGCAAGAAGCTGTTGATGCAAGTTCAAAGGCTGCCAAAGAAGAGCCCTGGAATCTGCATCCTGCACATCACCCAATCCCGCACCTGACATTTTTCTCCCTCTAAAATATTAGACTGGGACCATCCAATGAAGCCACCTAGAAAGATTTAGAACAGATAAAAGAAGGCATTTCTTCATAATTAACACATGGTATTCCTTGTCAAAAAAACAAGATGCCATCCATTAACTTGGATTGGCTTTAAAGGAAACTGAATACATTTGTGGAGGATCCATCTACTAACACCCATTAGTCTTGGAGACTCACTATCTCTGAATTGGGGGCATCAGGCCTCCCAATCCTAATTGCAGGGTAACAAAGTGGGGAGATGGTTATGTCTTCATCTCCTCTTTGGGAACACTCAAGGGCATCTCATTGAGCACGATGAGAAACAAAATGCAGGATTAAGATGGGTCCTGACCTGAATCAGCAGACTTTTCTTATATTGTTATGTGTGATTAAAAGAGGGGCAAACAACATTTTTACCATAAAAGAAAGTTCTTTTTTCAATCATTTTTGCTTTGCTTTCTTTTTTGGGCAGCCGCAGACTACCAGGGTAATGGCAGATTATGTGATCAGAATTTTCAATCCATTGAGGTAGACTTTTTAAAATCAAAACCTTAATAGACAGATTAAGTCTTTTGGAAACCTAACACAATTTCTTTGACTTTTTACCCCCCCAAAAAGTAAGTGGAAAATCCCATTACTAAAGTTTGGCAGCAAGTTTTCCCAGTTTTCTTGGACCAACTACAGTATGAAGAAGGATGTATAAAAACTTTGCCTAAACTTTTAATGTTGTAGTGTTCTTTGTCCTAAAATAGACCATAAACAAAGCAATATATGAAACAGCAGCACTGATGTTAATACTGCACTGTTTGTTCACTGGCAGGTAGATAGCAAAGATGTGTATTTCCTGACGAAACAGATTAAGCAACAGTGCAAGTTGTTTTTCCTGATCAAAAATACAGCAGCATGGCCAACCCATCTACCATTGTGTATTATACAACTAAGACTACTGAATTTAATCATTGAACAATGAGATTCTGCATGGGAAAGAGCCCCAACTATTATGCATGCCTTGTCCTTGAGAAGCTGGAAAGTCGGTGGGCATTTCTACATGGTTACTACGCTGCTTCAAAAATCAGCCCCAGACTAGTTTGGTGCCATGTTGTCATCAGATCTCTTTGCCACTTATTTCTGGCTCAGCTGTGGAAATCATACTACAGGCAATCTTTTCATGTGAGTTGGCCATTTTCCTGTCGGCAGAATCCCTTGACTTACACCTCTCCCCAGTTCCTGGGTTTTAGCCAGCCTCTCCTAGTAGCAGTTCAGACATCACAGCATCGTGCCAAGATGTTATTCTTTCATAGATGTTTTAAAGGCAGCCAAGGGATTTTGCAACTCCTTCTTGTAGTAACTACATGTATTCTGATTGATGGACTGATTTCAGATGACTGCTCAGCATCAACTAAGACAGCGTGAGGAGGGACAAGCTGCCAATTGAATTATGGCTTTGCACTCTTCCGTTGGTCAGCTGGAGAGAGGATTGCTTTTTGGTCAGGGGCAGCAAAGATTATGGTGAGTTGGCTTCAAACTGTTGTAAGGGATTCAGGAGTGGAAACAGTGACAGTGTGGAAGAGTTCTGTATGTATTTGAAATTAAATAAAATTGCAGTTTTTATAGGAGATTTGGTGGGGTTTATCATGCCCCTGAGAGGGATAAAATCTGTTCTTCCCTCTCAGTGGAAGATAATGGAACAATACCTGATGGTGGAAGTGAGTGGTTATGATCAGGTACAGAGCACTGACATAAAATGGAGCAATAATGTGAGAATTCCTCCATAAAATTTAAATTTCCACAGAGGACTTGCCACCAGGCACAACTTATTTTCTCTGAGGTTTGCTCGCGGCCTGGCAAATATAACTCTGTGCTAGAGATAAAATGGTGCTGTGACTTGCATTTTAGTTTTACTCCTTCTCCCAATTACCCTTTCTTGTTTCGACCATCTCCTTTCTTGAAAGAAAGAGGCACTTAAGTGGGATAGAAAATGTATCATTATGTTAGAAATCTAAATACTTGAATTAAATTGCCTCTTTCTTTTAAAAAAAGAAGAAAGAGAACAATATGAGCAGAGACCTGAGAGGGTGTTGCTAAATGGGCATGGCCACTTGAGAAGGGACATGGCGATGAGGGCAGTTTTACTTGGCAGAAAAAAACCTGCCTCACTGTTGATTATGATTGAAATCCTGTCCTGTAATGACATGGGTTGGCTCCAAGATGTCTATTTAAGCAGAAACCAAAACCTAAACTGTAAGAACTCGAAAAGTACTAAGAATAGAAGCAAAAGCATTGATGTTGCTGAATCCAAATCTTTATGGTCCTAAATGTAGTAGTATAAATATTGAATATGAAAGCAGAGGGTCTTTTTTTTTAAATCCAGCCATTCTAAATATAGGATTGGAAGGCTATTAGCTTTATTTGACCAAAAGTTTCTGAGCCATAAAAAAACTGAACTTAAAAAAAATCTGTTCAGTTACTGCTTTTCAAAATTCAGTGCCTAGGGACTTTGCATCCCCTAGTATTTGCAATCAAACAATTGCCTATTTCTAAGTACACATATCTTTCTGGTGTTTCTGAAAACTAATAATGATGTTCCAAGTATCTCCAGAAAGGATAAACTGAAGAGCTATGAAGAAACTTTTCTTTCTGCAAATCAATAACATTTAGGATAACAGGACATTTGTGAAGACTACAAATTGATTTCTTGGAGTTGTTAAGTATGGTGCAGTTCATTTTTCAGTGATTTTTTTGTATGGGGTTTTAAAGAATTAAGCAATTCTATTATCTTGTTATGCCAGGATTAGAGATACATTAATACTCCTCCAGCTACCATATCCAATACATGTCTGTATTGGATATATCCCTCAGTCTGGGCGGGATATAGTAATACATATAGCCAGATGATAACTAAACAATTCAATTAATGTAGCATCTTTGGAAATGTACCACAATACCCCTAATAAGAAAACATACATGCATCAGGTGGATGTAGAGGCAGCAAACCCACATGTACTAACCCAGTGGCATGCCCATCTCATTATCATGTCTCTTATTGATTGATTGATTGATTGATTGATTGATTGACTCTCCTCCCCAGTCACCACTGACTGGAACCAACCCTGGAGGAAGGAGGTGAGCCAGCACAATACCATGCCACCCACCCCCAATTCTCTGAGTCAGTCCAGAAGGATACCATGGTTGATGGTATCAAAAGCCACTGAGAGGTCATGTAAGGCAAGGATGGATGAACAACCACCATATCACCCACACCAGAGATCATCCAATGCCATTTCTGTACCATACCCAGGTCTGAACCCTGACTGAAAAGGATCCAATAATCTGCTTCATCCAAGGTCCTCTGAAGCTACTGCGCAATCACCTCCTCAATCACCTTCCCCAAATAGGGGAGGTTGGATACTGGACAAAGTTTGTCCAGTATCGTGGGGTCCAGCAATGGCTTTTTGAGGAGGGGGTGAACCAAAGCCTACTTAAGAGGCACAGGAACAACCCTGTCACTCAACAAAGAACTCACCATCTCTAGAACCCACGCACATGATACCCCCCAGGCTGCTTTCACAAGCCAGGAGGAGTATGGATCTAGAGAGCAGGTGGCCGAGCTCACAGTCTTAAGGACCCTGTCCACTTCCTCAGGTTTGAACCTAATACACAAGAAGTCCCCTTACTCACTGAGGAGGAGCCACCATCACCCAAGAGCCAAGGTCTATGTAGTCTGGAAATACAATCAAGACATATGTAGTACAAACCTGTATGTTTCGAATTGTCCATCATAGTCATCTCATAATCCATCCCCATGTGGACAATTGCCATCATCTAAGGAATACCTCCCTATGAAATCTTTACTTTTCTCTTGGTGTAATATGTATGTGTGCCTATTCTCCCTGAGAGCAGTGCAGGTTACCAGCATAGCATTAGGACCTTTCTCTATCAATCTTCTTGGAAGGATTTGTGTACATTCTTCATTTCTATCTCATTCTTCCCGTCAACGCTCTTGTCCTCAAGAGAAAAGCTTGTTCCATGAGAGCCAGGAGCTCACTGCATCAGGCACCTCATGCTGATTTCAGTCCAGCAGGAAGAACAGGGCCATGGTGGTGGTGATGGTGTGGAATTAGTGTGTTCTGTGCATAGATTTCTCCTGGCATCCTGCAGTTAGATCTATTCAATCACCTCTTCACAACTTCCTGAGAGCACAGTTTCCACCACTTGCTTCTGACATGTCATCCTGTATGTTTAACTGCAACTTAAGAGGATAATATTTAGCAGGTTACAGATACTAGAAGGAAGAGCTTCTTTCTTTTTATTGTTAAAGGCACATGAATTCTATCAGAAAAAAATGGCAGTAGCTCTAACTCTAAGCATCACAGGACAAGCAAGAAGTATTTTCTTTTTCTTTTCCAAAAGCAGGACATTGTAGGATGTGCATCTTGAATTTTAATTCTCAAGGCAAATTTGAAACACAGAATTAATATTTTGCCCACAGAGCGCTTGGCTGAAAAAGCTATGGTGACTCAGGTGCTGGCCTGGGTTGCCATAATTGATTTAGTCTGGGTTCAGACGAAACACATAATCATGTCCGGCTTGCTCTAGAGATGATAAAGCAGAGGGAGCGAAGAGTTGGGGGGGGGGGGAGAGAAACTAAGCTGATATCAGTCTTTGTAGTGATGTCATTGCAATGAGAAATGGATTTGTGCTGGCACTAGGCTTTGCTTATTTAGCTGGAGGTTGAATTAGGCAGAGACCAGGGACAACAGAGAGAAAAGCTGGTGCCTCTCTCTCTCGAAGGAGCATTTTGAGCCTTGAAGGAGCATTCTGAACAGTTAGAAAGCTCTTTTATTTTCTTGACTCTGGGGCTACGTAAGCTCTTGATTTATGTCAGGGAGGGAATGCCAGCCCATGACATGGACTGTGATGTCTCCTCTCTGGTTGCCTGTGTAGTGGATATTGAGGTATTTACCAACCAAGATGTTAAGGTATGTGCATGCCTTTCATTCTGTAGAGATGTTTCTGACAAGGACACTTACAGGATTACAAGAATGATTGATGTCCTGCAAAAAAGCAGATCAGATTGTCATGTTTATCACCATAACAACCAGAATGTTGGGAATCTAGTATGAAAAGATTATGGAGCTATTCCTTCATCTTGTTTTTAAAATGGGTTTGTGATCTAATAAATCTAATAATTTCATTTGCATCACAAATGAAACCCTCATTAAATAGTAAATTCTCCTTGGTTTTTTCAGTCTGGTGCTAAACACAAAATGATCTAGTTTTTTAAAGTATTTTTGGACAGAGCAAATAAAGGAATAAATTGTAAATGCATGTGGGTGTATGTTCTCTGAGTATACTTGTTCAGTGTTTGTATATGAACATATCATTTAACTGAAAAAGTATCTATGACTTTGCACTGTGTAGCCAATAATGTGAGTGACTCACCTGAGTTAAAAGGATTGCAGCATTTCAGCCCAAGTTGGACAGTTCAACTTTTTTGCATGAAATTTTGAAAAGCTGAGGTACATTTCTCATATTTCCTCTTGATTTCCTTTTGTGGAGATCTAATTATAGTCATATTGTTTTCCTTTTTGGTGCCAAGCAGCTTAAAAATAAAGAAGAATGTTGTGAAAAACTATTAGTGTACCTAGTCAGAAAAGCTTTCCTTTAAAAAATATTTGTAAAGAGCACAGTATATTGCATCTGCCCATCTCAGTACCATACTGCAGTATCAGAGAAAGGAAAAGGAAAGACTTTGTCAGCCCTGAAGTAGCAGGCAAAATCAATACTGCAGTTGGTTTTATTTTCTGGAAATATTATATCAGTGGCAGAGGGTGAATGAAATATATTGTCAGTTTGGGTTTTTTTTTTTTTAAACTTAATTCTGAATACAGGTAACAACCGGTATTTCATATTCACGTTGTACCATTGATAATCCTTTTTAATAGATTTATTCTTTTCTAGGAGCATGTGATAGGATGAAACTCTCCTGGGCTCCTGAGCTTCTCTTTCTGCATTGGGGGGGGGGGGGGGGGGGGGGGGA